GATGACCAATTTCTTGAGTTCTTTGTATATTTTGGAGATCAGACCTCTGTCTGATGTGAGGGTTAGTGAAGATCTTTTGCCGTTCTATAGGCTGTCATTTTGTCTTGTTGACGGAGTCCTTTGCTTTCAGTTTCAGGAGGTCCCATTTATTGTTTCTCTCAGTGTCTGTGCTGCTGGGGTTATATTTAGAAAGTGGTCTCCTGTGCCAATGCATTCAAGTGTACTTCCCACTTTCTCTTCTATAAGGTTCAATGTGTCTGGCTTTATGTTGAGGTCTTTGATCCATTTGGACTTGAGTTTTGTGCATGGTGATAGATATGGGTCTATTTTCATTCTTCTAACATGTTGATATCCAGTTATGCCAGCACCACTTGTAAAATATGCTTTCTTTTTTCCATTCGATATTCTTTGATTCTTTGTCAAAAGGTATTCGAAAGAGTGTGGATTAATATCCAGGTCTTTGATTCGGTTCCATTGGTCCACCTTTCTGTTCTTATGCCAATACTGGGCTGTTTTAAGCACTGTAGCTCTGCAGTAGAGTTTGAAGTCAGGGATTGTGATGCCTCCAGAAGTTCTTTTATTGTGCAGTATTGTTTTGGCTATCCTGGTTTTTTGCTTTTCCATATGAATTTGAGTACTGTTCTTTCAAGGTCTGTGAAGGATTTTGATCAGCATTGCATTGAATCTGTAGATTGCTTTTGGTAAGATTGCCATTATTACTATGTTAATTCTGCCTACCCAAGAGCATGGGAGATCTTTCCACTTTCTGATGTCTTCAATTTCTTTCTCTAAAGATTTAACGTTCTTGTCATACAAGTCTTCCACTTGTTTGGTTAGAGTTACTCTGAGATATTTTATGCTACCTGTGGCTATTGTGAAGGGTGTTGTTTCTCTGATTTCTTCCCCCCCCCCTTATCATCTGTGTAAAGGAGGGCTACTGATTTTTATTTGAGTTTATCTTGTATCCTACTACATTACTGAAAGTGTTTATGAGTTGTAGAAGTTCCTTGGTAGAATTTTTGGGGTCGCTTATGTAAACTATCTTATCATCAGCGAATAGTGAGAGTTTGAGTTTTTCTTTTCCAATTTGTATCCCCTTGCTCTCCCTTTGGTGTCTTATTGCTCTAGCTAGGACCTCAGAACTATATTGAATAGATATGGGGAAAGTGGACAACCTTGTCTTGTTCCTGATTTCAGTGGAATCGCTGGGAGTTTCTCTCCATTTAGTTTGATGTTGGCTGTTGAAGCCAGGGCCTTTCTAAAGCAAGAAGCCAATGGCAGCTTCAGTCCTCTTCCCTAAATTTTTCACTGAGGAAGCACTCAATACCTACCTCTTCCTAAAATGCCCCATACTGTCTTCAGCTTTTTGGCCTCCATACTTTCTCTTTCCCCTTATCTAGGACATTTTTCTTCCTGCTCAGCTTCATTCCATTCACCCAGCTGGCTCCTTTTCTCCCTCAGGCTCCTGTCTGAACATTACCCCATCGGAGAGAACTCTGACTAGTCAATTTAGTTAATTGCTTCTGTAGTTTGTTCTCAGAGTTGCCTGTATGCCCTTCATCATGGTGCTCCTATATGGCATGCTTCTAAACTCTTTCCCTGTTTGTCTTGCCTGTCCCCAGGGTTGGGTGTTGGTTTGGTTGGCAGGACACAGGCTAGATCATCATAAAAGTGCCACAGCTGCCTCCATTGAGGCAGGAGTAGATATGGGGTCTAAGTACTGCCAGCCAAGTGCTACTGCAAGTTCCAAGACCTTTAATGATGAATGAGATATGGCCTGGGTCACTAAAGACAATGGTGGCAGGGTGAGAACAAAGTGTTTTCACCAGTTGGCCTCATTCCTGAGGGAGGAATGGTGCTGGGAGGGACATCATGGAGCAAGGGCTCTTCACTGGGGCGATGCTAAAAACAGAAACTGAGTGACACAGATCAGCCGGCTTGTGGGTTTGCAAATATAGCCAGTGATAGGGTCTTTACTGAGCAATTCCATTTGAGACTCATCCCTAGCTTTTCTTCCCCATTACTGACCAGCTAACTTAGAGTTCCTAAGAAAGTCAGGTTAAATCTGGAGGGTTGAACAATTATTCAGTCTGCAAACATTAATTTCAGTGTTGCCAGCACGTCATACATGTAGGATATTATATATAATTTTTATATTGCTTTAGGTATTGACTTTCTTTGAACGTATATTCTGAACGCAGCGCCTTAGACCGCTCGGCCATCCTGACAACCTTGAACATATATTCTGTATTCTACCCCTTGACCCCTGACTCTCCACCCACAAGATCATAACTCAGCTGTTAGAACTATTTGTTAAATTGATCTTGGACCCCTATCCTTTTTATTTGCTAAATTATGTACTAAATTTGGTGGTTCCATTGAAATGATATTTATAACCCTTACCAGCTGCCTTGCTTATCTTGTACTGATTAGTACCTATGCTAAGGCAAGAGGTCACCCAACCCCAGTGGTCATTTCCTGTATCAGGAATGTCTCCACTTTGGCCTGCCACCTCTAGATCACTTATTGAGACTTTATTGGATGGTATAATCTAGTCCTTTTTCATTAGGGAGTTTAAATATAAAGTTTATTTTATTGGTGGCCACCTTGTCTCATAGACTCCTGAAAAGCTTCCTGCTAGTTAAAATCAACAGGGTGCTGATGACTTGACTCTGAAGCAACCCCCTGGTTTGTGTCAGTTGCTGATTTCTGTGATGGGCAGCTGTGGCCAACTTCAGGTTACCAAAGAGATGTTGCGGAAATCAGTGCCGGGAAGACACACAAACACACGTTTCACCCTTGAATCTGCATGGGATGCTACCACATGGTAGCCACTGGATTTTCTTATGGTTGAAATGCCCTGTGGCTCACTCCTATTTCTCTTCCCTTGGGTATGGAATGGCCAAGGGTCCTGTTGTGAGGGGGAGGTTCCAAAAACACGCTGCAGATAGGTACAGATAGGTGTAAGAAGAGGAGACAACTGGCTGGGGGATAAGGCACAGAGTGGGCTAAACGTGATGGCTATTGTGTTTCATCAAGATAAGAAGGGGGCTGAGGAGGAAAGATGACTAATTATACACCAGCGAGAAAACATTTATTGAGCACCAAACAATGCACCCTACCAGCTCTGAGGTACTGAGGACACAACAGATAAAATTCTTGCTTTGTGGAGCTGATATTTCTTATAAACTTATAATTATTATCTTATAATATATATATACAATAGATATATAAGTTGCAAAACATGCCCTTGTTCTGAGTAGGACATACCATTTCTATACTACACTGTAAACTTTCTAAGGTCTAAGGATGTCTTCTTGTCAAGTTCTATCTTGAGCAGATGAGGTAGAGCTAGATAGACTGCTTATTCTTTATCTCAAGTAATTCAAACTATGTTTTTAATGTAAAAATGAATTTAAATCAGCTGAATAATCTTATATATAATACAGTCACTTCTGTTACATTAGAACAACCCTCCCCTAGGGAAAAAGCCCTTACATATGCCTGCAGGAATATACACACACACAAGTTTTTCAGAGTTCACTATAAAAGTGCTTCCTTTGGATGTCCTAATAATAAAGACTTTATTCGCCAGTTTTCACCTGCCTCACCGCTGGAAGACATTCACAGAGTGTAGATGCTGCATGGCCCCAACAACATGTATTTACATGGGGGAAAGTATCTCAAAACAACTTGTCAACCCATGTCTGGTTATTCATTCCATAAGCAACTTGAGAGAGGGTGGCCGTGATGTAGGTTCTGGCTTCCGGTGGGGGCCACCTCCAGCAGTCATCTTAACTTTATCCACCTTAGAAATAAATTCTGTTCTGCTGCGTGGCCAATCAAGAGCGTCATCCAGATAACACTTTCCTGCATCAGGAGCAGTGGCAGTAGACCAGGTACTTCACTTAGGGCTTTGGAAGGTATCAGAATCAGAACCTCGAACATTCCATTTGTCCTCTGAGCAGATTTTGCAGCTACACTGAATGTTCTGATAGGTTTTGGACTTGAAGGCATCTAGAATATTCTCATTTTGTTTCAGTGGCATCTGTGTGTGCGTGCATGTGTGCATGCATGCCTGTGTGCATGCGTGTGTGTCTGTGTGCGTGTCGTCATATCTCCTCTTATGAATCGGCTTTAGATTCTGCATCTCTTGGCACTGGAGTATCGAGAGGCATTTGGCGAAGCGTCCTTACCTCGGAGGTGCTGCTTCTGAGTTTCTTGTTCTTGTCAGTTTTGTTTTTTTTTTTTTATTGGCTACAAAGTGCCTTCCAGGAGCTGCTGTATGGATACCATATATGGAGCTTTCTGGAAAGCTTGGCTTTTAGTTTCTTTGAAAGGAGCATGAATGGACACAAAGAGGTTTTTATCTTTTAGTTCTGCTACTCAATGTGTTTTAACATGCATATAAAATCCGATCATGCTAGGCTGGGTATGAAAAACTTCTCCAGGTGTCTCTCTTGTCTCATCATTTTGCCTTTCTTTGAGAGAAGGCAGTGACCGGTAAATGCCGTTGTCAGGTAAATTAGTCCTTTGTCCATTAGCCTATGGTTAGCGTCTTCTTTTTCTTGTTTGTACACTAACTTGTGGGCTTTGTTTGAAACCTGTTTCACTTCAAACATTTTCAGTGCAGCCTTATTCGATCCTGCTCAAGCAGAACCTGGGAGCCCTTCAACAGGAGAGTTCTTGGGCTAATCACGGCGCCATGGCAGCCCCACAACCTTGACCTAGCTCTTATTCCCAATTATACTGGGACATGGTTTTCTTTACAGCAACACTGTAAGAAAGACCAACCAAGTTAAGCATTAAGACAGATAGAGAGGTAGGAGTTGCTCGAAGTGAGAGGTTCCTAAAATATACAGTTATCAACCCAAACTCATTTCCATCCAAGCTGGGGAATAATGGTCAAAGAACTTTCTGGAAACCCCGGTTGCTTGAGAAAGCACCCTGAACTTCTTGCTGAGCTCTGCAAGCTCACTAAGCCGAAGCGCCCTTAGTACCTTGGTGATTGCTTGTGCCCATACACTCCGTGGACCAGTCCTGGGGGATCACGGGATCCACTAGCTCTGCAAACTTCTCCAGAGGGCAGCTGTGGGTGCAGCCAGGCAGTGTGAGTGGGTAGAGCTCGTGCTGGGTCTCATTCCGATAGTACATCTCCACGAAGTGCCCCCTGGTGGACAGGCAGAAGACAGCAATGTTAGCTCCGCGATGCTAAACTGTCCCGTGAATTTCTTTCCACCCTACTGTCGCCCTTCCCTAAGGACCAAGGGAATGGGAAAGGCTGGTTTGTTAGGTAAGCCAGACATGGAGAGTGGGGGACAGCATCCTTCATCAGAGATCATTAGCAGAGCTGGGTGTGACTTTGAGTAAGAACGAAGATCTACTATTTTTTAAAGACGTTTTATTTTTATATGTATGTATGCCCGTGAGTGTATGCCATGTGTTTTGTGGGTACCCACGGGAGAAAGAGGGCTCGGATCTCCTGGAGCTGGAATTACAGGCAGTTGTGGGCTGCCTGATGTGGGCGCTGAGACCCAAACTTGGGTCTTCTGTAAGAGCTGCACTACTCTTAACTGCAGAGACCTCTCGTAAGCTGGTTGTTGTTATTTTTAATTTAATTAATTAATTAATTTTTTATTTATTTTATTTTATTTTTTTATTTTCCGAGACAGGGTTTCTCCGTAGCTTTTGGTTCCTGTCCTGGAACTAGCTCTTGTAGACCAGGCTGGCCTGGAACTCGCAGAGATCCGCCTGCCTCTGCCTCCCGAGTGCTGGGATTAAAGGCGTGCGCCACCACCGCCCGGCTTATTTATTTATTTTTATCAGTACCCCTGGTTCCTATTGAAAACAGACACTTAATCCTCGGTGTAGCTTCCTTCACGTTTGTACTGAGGGACTGGATTGTCCTAATTTCTTAGCTCTCATATTAAACTGGCCACAGATAGGATCCTAAGGAAAAAGTCAGAGGCTTCGTCTTAATACAGCGTTTCTCAACCTGTGAGTTGAGATCCCTTTGGGTCTCGAACGACCCCTTTCACAGGGGCCCCCAAGACCATCAGAAAACACAAATATTTCATTATAGCTCATGACAGTAGCAAAATCACAGCTATGAAGTAGTAATGAAAATAATTTTATGGTTGGGGGCCAACATGACGTGAGGAACTATATTAAAGGGTCACAACATTAGGAAGGTTGAGAACCACTGCTCTAAGGGGCCAAGGTCAGCTCAGGGAATAAGGAAGGAGAGGTGTGTTCATCTCTCTTGTTCCCATTTGATCTCTGGGTAAGGAGGCTTTTGATCTTTGTAAACAGGGAAAATTTTGCTTTCCAGTTTCCTGTTAATGGCAAATATAGAAATGGATAAAGTCTTACTGATTTCTAGAGAGGTCAGGAAATGTGGGGTCTACTAGATGCTGGGCCTCCCTTCTCCTGGTCTGTCCCTTCAACGCTTCTCCTTCGCTCCTTTCTTTTTTCTCTGCCCTCAGGTATTTTTTCAGGCTTTGTCTTAAATGTGTCTCTCGTCTCCTTCGGCAGCAAACACAGAAGGGAACAATGCAAGACATCTGGGGGATATGCCAAGACTTCAGATAAAGTTCTCTCTGAAGAGAAAGGGATGGATTCAATTCCTGAGTCATTCTAAGGGCTCTCCCTGAAACCTGCTTCTATCCAGGAAAGTTGACTGGACCGCGCCAACCTGTTTGTGGAAGTAACTCACCAATGAAGGAGTCAGGAGGGAAATTCAAGTAGGAGTTAATGATCTGTCTCATTATAATGACCTCAAACTGCAAATGTCATATAAGCAAACTTTTACGATACTACTTTAAAGAAGGAAGATAGTGACTGTGTGAAATATCCGTTTATGAGATACGTTTTTGTTTGTGTATATGTGTGTGGTATGGTGTGTGTTTACACATAAATGTTCAAAGGTGGAGATCAGAGGTTGTTGTGTTTGGGTGTATATGTGTGTGGTATGGTGTGTATATACACATATATGTTCATGGGTGGAGATCAGAGGTTGTTGTGTTTGTGTGTATATGTGTGTGGTATGGTGTGTGTATACACATATATGTTCATGGGTGGAGATCAGAGGTTGCTGTGTCTCTGTGTATATGTGTGTGGTATGGTGTGTGTTTACACATACATGTTCAAGGGTGGAGATCAGAGGCTGATGTCTGGTATCTTCCCCCACTGTTTTTCTCTTTAATTTAGAGCTAGGCTCTTCATCGATGAATATGGAGCTTGCTGTTTTGCTTGCACTGGATGACTGTTGATTGCCAGGATCTGCCTGTCTTTGCCTCCTAGCACTGGGCTTGTATGTGTGTGTGTATACACATACATACACACAGAGTTTTTACATGAGTGCTGGGGATTTGAACTCAGGGTGTGGGAGGTCCTTCTGTCTGTGTGTTGCTTTTCTGGGTTAATGAATAAAGAAACTGCTTTGGCCTGTTGATAGGGCAGAACTTATGTAGGCAGGGAAGACAGAACTGAATGCTGGGAGAAAGAAAAACAGAGTCAAGGATGCTGTGGAACCGCAGCCAGAGTCAGACTTGCCAAACCTTTGCCAGTAAGCCACTGCCACGTGGCACTATACAGATTAATAGAAATGGGTTAAATTAATGTAAGAGTTGCTAATAAGAAGCTAGAGCTAATGGACCAAGCAGTGTTTTAATTAATACAGTTTCCGTGTGATTACTTTGGTTCTGGGCGGCCGGGAACAAACAAGCTGGCCTTCTCCAACGAACTCATGTCCTCAATCTGCACAGCAAGCACTGTATTCATTAGGCCATCTCCCCATCCCTCAAGATACATTTCTTAAGATGCCCAGTATGGAACAAACTGGTGACTATATCTCTGGGTGACATTTTCAGTAACAGCAACTCTGTTTTCCCAAGTGGACTTGATGACCAATAGTCTGTCAAAATCATGATTATACCCAAAGACTAGAATTATTTCTCAGAGTCTGTTGCACCTCAGTGGGATCAAGTATTCCATTTTAGCCGATAAAGCATGAACAAACAGGCCACGTTTCTTTGGAGTTGAGGTGCTTGAAAAGCCACTTGCCCTTTCCACTTAGGAATTCCTTTGGAGGATCTGCCAGCAGGTGGGCAGCCCTTGAAGCTGTAGGTCCTAAGCCCAGTGTCTGACTGTCAACCTATGACATCACAGCACTCGCCTTGACCTAATGACCTAGTGGCCAGCTATTCCCTGCACTGGAGGGTTAGATACACAAGCGATAACTTTCCATTGTGCGAAGCCTGAGAACCCTAGGTTCATTGATGCTGAAGGGAAAGTTAATTTTCTGAATGAATCTATCTGCCGAGTAGTTTCTAAAGTGGATCTGGTGGTGAAGATACAAACTAAAGGCACACAAAAATGGATAAATTGTGGCATAAAATGTGAAAATGGAAAAATACAGTAATTTAATAAAGTAAATTACTTTACATAATCTATGGCTTTAAACTGATATGCCCGATTAGAGAGAAAATTCTTGAAGAGCAGCAGGCACGGTGCTGCAGGCCTGTAACCTCACCACACAGACCTGAGAGAGGAGCGTCGCAAACAGAAGTCCTGCTTGGGCTACACTGTGAGGCCCTCCTTCAAAAAACAAAGGCTTTAAGTGCACACGTAGCCATGGCATCTACAGTTTCAGTAGCCTACATATATAAAAATAGCCCACATATGTAAAATGGCTAGGAATTGAACACATTCTCCCTTCACGTCCCATCTTTTCTTTCAGGAGAAATTACAGGCTTCGAGTCAGGATTAGGTAATATACAACCAAAGCGCATCTTAACTTGGGTCCCCCTTGTTCTAACTAAAAGACAAGCAATAAAGTTTAACCCTTGAATCTTCCCTGAAATCTAGAAAAAGACATCCTAGTATAACCACCAGATCAGTATGTGTGTGACCCTTTGGTAAAACGTGTGTGTGCCCAAGTCTCCTGGTGGAAAAGAACCCCAGACTTGGTTAGTAACAGAGACTGGGGTGAGGCTATGAGACACAGTGATCCAGTAAGAATATACTACAGCACCCCAATGAAGTTTAGGGCTGCACCCCCTGATAATGCAAGTTTAGGACTGTACACCCCAGTAAAGCAAGTTCGGGATTGCACCCTTCAATAAAACAATTTTAGAACTGTACACCCTAATAAAGCAAGCTGGGCTGTGGTGAAGACACTGGAGAGAATAGAGGGCTCGAGGAAACTGACAAATCCTCTTATCTCTGAAGAGGCAGACTACTCTAGAACAGATGCCAGCATTTCAGCTGGGTCTCTCAGCATGTGCCCAGAGTTGGCCTTCAGACTCCTGTGTTACTGGGAGAGCCTCTTACTGCCTTGCTCTGATTTGCCTGCTAGTTTCCACTATGAACTCTTCTCTGCATGGATGGTAGGTGTTTGAATACGAGAGTAGCCAAGTTGACATTTTAGGTTCACTTTTTCATGCCTGGTGCCCAGTTAGAGGTTCAGGAAAGAGAGTGTCTACCTTCTCCTGACTGTGCAGGGCCCACTCTCTTTGTGAGGAGTGAAGGTACGGAGGATGAAGTATGGGTGCTGTTATACTTTATTTTAGTGGCTCCCTGCTAAGAGACTCTGAACAGCCCGCAAATATATCACGAGAAGAGGTACATGGGCCAATCACAGCATATGATATGCAGATGAAGGCTTGAATTTGCACCAATCAGAGCACAAACCTCATGTAAAAATGAGAGTTTAGCTGGGTAGTAAGTAGCACATGCCTTTAATCTCAGCATTTGAGAGGCAGAGATAGATGGATTTCTGTGAGTTCGAAGCCAGCCTGGTCTACACAGCCAGTTCCAGGACAGTCTTCAAAGCTACAGAGATATCCTGTTTTGAAACAACAACAACAACAACAACAACAAGAGAGTATATGTTTCATCAGTTAGTTTTTCCCTGTTGGCACCAGTTACAACAGTCACTCTGCTCTGCCACCAGCGGAAGTACTCTGCCGTTGACCTAGTTTGGAATGGTTACAGAGCCATCTAGAGCTCATCAAGCCTTGTGTTAGCAAAATGTCTGATATAAACTATATGAAACAATCTTTGCTGGCACTGCACCTCCGGAGCATTGAAGGCGTTCATAGGATGTTATTCATAGGGTGTTCATACCGGCCCATACTGGCATAACGGTGGTCCAGCCCGGTAGCTGTTTGATAGTTTTCTTGCTCAAGGCTGCCAGGGTAGCAAGGGAGAGTACAACAGCAGCCAATTAAGGAGTTAAATTGCCCCATCCCTCAACATTTTTGCCTAGTGGTGAATGAACATCAGAAGGAATGCTTACAACGAGAAGCTAAAGAGCATATCATCAACACTGATAATAATTTCAACAGATTTTAAACAAATGCTTACTAACATCTGCCCATTGCTCCACGGAGACCCGTGTGCCATTTTAAGACCCAGTTCTCTGCTTCCTGTTTGCGGAGTGAGACGTCAGCTCTCAGCTGCTGCTCCAGGTCCAGGCCAGCCAGCCTGCCTGCTACGATGTTCTCTGCCATGACGGTGATGGACTCTTTCCTCTCTGGCACTGTGAGCCTTCAATAAGCCCTTCCTTCTATAAGTTTCCTTGGTCATGGTATTTTACCAAAGCAAAACAAAGTAACTAATATATTTGTCTATATTTTTTTCTGATTTTCCCAGAGATCTCCCACTTGAAAAGCAAAACTCTTCACCCCTGAAGTCTTCCGGTTCCAGATAAACCAGACCATTTAAACCTCTAGCCTGATTTTCTTTGTCCTCTTTTTCTTTCAGGGGTCAAACTAGTCATCAGTGAGGGTCACACCAGGTCATATCGGGGTAAACACTGCTCAGCAGTTGACTTTAAGACACCGGATGCTGGATATGAGTCACCAGGAGCGGTGTGACAGGTTGGGCTGTTTAACTGAAAGATATTTTACAAAAGCATCAGGCTTCCTTATTTCCCTCTTGGTGTCTTATACCAGAGAGTTTTTTCCCCAAGGGAAAAAAATGTAAGGTCTGCTTCTTTTTTATTGCCTTCATTAAAAAAAATGTCATTTCCTTTACTTTGGATGGTTCTCCCAATCATTCTAATATGTGCACAATATTTCCCAATAAAAGGCTCATGCAATAGAAAGAGCCAAAGTCCTGTTATCCCCAACCCTTCTCTCTGACTATGAAACCAAACAGAGACTGACACAGTGGGCATGAAGCCAACAGCAACAAAATAATAGCAGGCTGACATAGTAGCCCATTGCAGCAGCTCCAGCGCCTGGGAGCAGGCTCAAGACCAGCTTCTGCTGTAAAGTGAGTGCAAGGCAGACCCCAGGTACATAATAAAACTCTGTCTAAACAAACAAATCAGACTCTCAGCTAAGGAGCTATTGAGGGATGGTCAGAAGAGGAATAGCTGGTTTCCTTTAGAGGGTCCTGGAAGGTTGACCATTCTCCACGAATATATGAGCATCACAAATTGGACTTAGTAGGGTAACATATAAAGGACATGAAGTTGGGAAAGTGTGGGTGGGGTGGGGTGCGGGGGTGGTGAGTGAGGAGGATCCAGGAGTGGTTCAGGGGAGGATGGAGGTGAATATGTTCAAAATATATTGAATGCATGCATGGAATTCTCAAAGTATTAATAAATTAAAAAAAAAAAAAAAGAACCTCTACGGGTTTCAGGCAGCCTGGTTTGCATAATGAGTTCCACGGCGTCCAAGGCTACTTAGTAGAATCCTGTCTCAAACACAAACCAACAAACCCAAACTAGTAACACCAAAGCAGCCCCTTACCCCTTTTCTTGGTACAATTCCATTATGTGGCAGGACGCATAGGGAGGTAGAAGTCCATTATAAACATCTAGCGCCATCTGCAGGCCACTCACAGTAGTGTCGTGCTACGGAGATAGGAAACGAATCATTTTGTTGTTTGCTTCACAGGTAACAAACTTCACCAAGTGTAAGATACAGCGGTGGTTCCTGACCCCTCCATATTCTCACTGACTTAATATGTAAGAAGAGGAACGTGTTTCTCTGGTGTGTCTGGGCAGTAAGATTTACTCATAGATTGTTTTCATCTAAAAGATGAAGAAATTGATATCCAAGAAATTAGGCACCATGTTTAATTTCATATAGTCATCAAATAGGATAAATGTGAAGCAAATCTCCTGATTTTAAGTCCCATGCCTACAGTGGGCCCTCCTTCCCTTCTGCATGCTATAGTGGTTTTCAACACATTTAAAAATTCTGGAGCACATGAATGCTAAGTTGCATTTCCCACAGATTTGCAACATCTCCGATTTTTAAAGTTGTAGGAGAGTATCCGATGCCAAGGATGTTTAGGGGGGTTAAAGATGTAAGGGAGTGGGGAGTGTAAGATTAAAATATTAATGTAGTAGTTCTTTACCTCAGGGTGGTTTTTAATCCCACTCTTGGCATGGGTAAGCTGTTTAATCTCAAGTAACTGTATCTTCCATTTGTATAAAATGGGAGGACATTTGACTGCCTGGGGCTGGGGCTATACGTCAGTTGGTAGAGAGCACAAACCCCTGGGTTCAATCCCACGTATTGGGGAACACACACACACACACACACACACACACACGTATTTGTTGCATATATCTGGATGCCTAAGCTGAATGACGGGGCACACATATTCAAAAGGAGTTAGTTAAATCTAAGACTTTCCAGAATTCACACAAGTCAGGACTGGAACCTCACTTAGAAACTTTGAGAGACAGACAGCATTGTCTAACCCCAGGCTCACTTCCCTCTCAGAAGCAAGCCCCTTATCTTTCTCCATGGGCTGTTTCTCCAGTCCTTCCTATTTCGAGTGCATGCAGGTAACAACCCCCCTGTTCTCCAGCTGAAGCATAGCCTTCCTCACCTAAGCTAACCCTTTCCTTTCCTGTTGCCACCCCAGTTTTATGATGCGCCCCATTTCCCCTCAATACACACCAGTCTTCTATACTACATCCCGTTCCCAGCTTCTCCTCGTCTTCAGGAGGATGTGTTCCTGGAGCGATGCCCCTGTTTCACCTCCCTGGTCCTGTCTTTTCTGTGCTAACATCTTTGGGGGCTTTTCACACATTTTACCACAACAGGCACACAGGACAAGATGGCCTTGTAGAGCCTTCTAGTTCAGACAGTCTGCACTGTTTGCAGGTTGCCTAACAAAATGGTGATGATGAGAAGGCCCTGCATCTATGCTGTCCAGTTCAGGAGATGCTGGCTGCATGGCTGAACAGTGTAAATGTGGACAGTACAATGGAGACACTTAAGCTTTTTTTGCTTCGTCCTTTTCTTTTTTCCTGATCCTCTTCTCCCCGCTTTTTGAGATAAGGTTTCACTGTATGGCCAGACTATCTTGGAGCTCTCTATGTCAGTGGTTCTCAACTTTCCTAATGCTGAAACCCTTTAATACAGGTCCTCATGCTGTGGTGACTCCCAATCATAAATTATTTCATTATTACTTCATAACTGTAATTTTGCTACTGTTATGAATCATAATGTAGATATCTGATATGCATAATATCTGATATGTGACCCCTGTGAAAGGGTCATTCAACCCTCAAAGGAGTTGTGACCCACAGGTTGAGAACTCCTGCTCTATCCAGTCCAGACTTGCCTTGGCCTCATAGCAATCTTCCTGTCCCAGTCTTCTAGGTAAATGCTGAGATTGCATGCATGAACTATCATATTCAGCCTGAGGTTTTGTTCTATTTAATTAGAACTGATTTAAATGTAAACAGTTGTATGTAGCTGCAAGGTTCTATAGCAGGTAGACCAGTTATCTGTTAATTCTATACCAGAGTTTCCACAAAAGTGTTTCTAGCTGTTCACTGTTTTAGCAGTTTTTTTCATGAGCCTTCACGACAATGAGGAGCCATACTACCCCTCACCCTTCCTCTTAATGACTCAGCGGGCTTCCTACTTCAGGATACCCAATGCATCTTTTTCCCATGTCCTGCAGCAGAAAGATGGCTGGCTGCCTCTTTGAAGGTGCAAAGACACCTTCTTCTGCTGGATTTCATGTATCGTCTGGTATCATGTTTGTTATATGCCTGTCTTGCTGCTGGTATTAGTATTACATTGTAAATTCCTCAAGGGTGGAATGATGTATTTCATTCCAGAAGCTTTGTGCAGGCTTCTACCATTCTCTGGGTGATGGAGATATGAAGATGATGATGTCATACACTTGAACATGTCTATGCTAAGTGAACACTGAGGCACTTACTGCAGAATACATGACGAATTTTCTGTACTTCTGTGACTGAGTTGCAGTCTTCATGTTCTTGAGGATTTCACCGACCAGGACACCTTATAGGAGACAAAATCAACAAGAGAGATAAATCACACAGAGACTTATATAATGATCTGCGGGCTTCTTGTCTAACCACACTCAAGAGTTCTATCTGTCGTGAGTTAACAGACCAGGCAAAAATCTATTTTGCCACATAATCTGCTTCATGTCAGACAGTGTGATTAGGTCTTGTGCAAGCTGAAACTCAGAGGCACATATGACTTACACAGCTTGGAAAAGAAAGTTGAGTGGGTCCCATGCAGCAAAGACTAGTGAACTTATTTTTTCTGTACAAGGCCAGATAGTAAATATTTTAGATTTTGTGAGGCATAGGTCTGCAGCCACCACCCAGTTTTATAGTGGTACCAGGGAAGTTGCTATAGGCAGAATAGAATACGTGAGTGTGGCTGTTTCGAAAAGACCTTAGTAGAACCCCCTTTGTAGCCATTTCTGGGACATCAGCCACCAATCTCTTTGTGACTTCTAACTTCAAAGTATCTTTTCCATTCAGAGGAACACTGACTGCCCTTCTTCCAAAGGGCTAGGCAGAAGTACCATGCTCCATCTATGTCCATCCAAAGGATGCTGATTTTCGTCTTGTACAAGAATACTATAAAGGTCCGGAGGTTGGCACAGAAGGACAGATTTTCAGGAAGGAAGACTTGTGGTGCAGTGGGGAAAGCTAGAAGCACAGGTGTCCACATGGCATTCACCTTAGCATGGTGCTTAGCATCAGGTTAACACGATACAAAGGCCTCAAAACAATCCTGGAACAGGAAGCCAGACTTTGCCAAGTAGAAGAAAAGGGCAACCACAAAGAAGAAGCAATGGAGAAAATGCAGGCATAGACTAATATTGTATCCATCTTTCATTAAAGGCTGGTTAAATGGAACATAACAGAAACTTCATTTACAAAATCAGGTGTCAGGCTGAATTCAGCCTATAGACAGTTATTTGCCAGTCCCTAGTCTATGACAAGAATAGACAAATGTTCCTAAACCAGACTTGGGGGTTTATTGAGTATGTGTGGGTACATATTGCTAAGCACTGCCATCCACAAAACCAAGTACAAGACAGAAGTTCCAGCAATGGTTAGAGAACACCGGCCACCATCCAGGTGTTCTTGTGTTGCTGTGCCATTGAGGCAATTCATGCTTTCTATAGGATTGTGTCTTTTTTATCATTCAGTCATCACGTGATTGACAAGTCTCTCTCACCTAGCCAGGTTAGAACAACAAGCTAAGACAGTGTTTTGTCAAAACCATGCAGGAAGCTGGGTATGGTGGCACATGCTTTTAATCCCAGCACTTGGCAGGCAGAGGCAGGCAGATGTCTATGAGTTCAAGGACAGTCCAGTTTACCTATGGACTTCAAGGACATCCAGAGCTACACACAATGAGATCCTATCCCCAAACAATAAGAACTCTCAATAGCAGAAAACTCCATTCGGGGAACAGTTTTCTGGCTAGTCAAGGGCAATGGACTTGCCCCATAGAACAGGTCGGGCTGGCCTTTATAATCTAAGGCCAGACATCTCATAAGAAGGACTATTCTGTGGAGAATCTAATTTAACCCTCTCTTCAAACTGAGAACTCATACCTTCAGAGAGGAAGTGGCTTCCTCCTGGTGCGCTCCTCTAGTAACCCACTAGAATGAACCCTAGTTATAGTCCTATAAACAAATCCCTACAGCTAGCATTAGAGTTCTGATATAAAGCACGTAAGGATTTCATTAAAATGCATGTTTTCACTCTGTAGGTACTGGGCGGGGTCTGAGAGTCCCCTAGCCACTGCTGGGTCTGCTGATGCTTCCCGCTGTACTCTGAACAGAACATTCCTGGACCCATCGTTGATGTGGCTGGAGGAACGAATCTAGGATTCCACCTTCACCTTTTGAAGGGGCTTGGGGCTGAAACATACTGTTGTTGTCTGCTGGACCAGAAATGAGGCCTGCTGCTTGTATGGCCCATGAGGTCCTCTGCATCCTTTGCTGTGAAACATGCAGGATGGAGCATCTTCCATACTTCTGTATCCTAGTATTTTCTCAGTATATCAGGTTCCATCTAAGACTCCTTTCTGTGATGCACCGCTTTTCCTAGAAGGCTGGGGCCTGCTGCGTTTGCATCAGTGTAGAGGGAAGGCTCAAACATTTTCATTCGGTATGCATCTGTGCCATGCGACTGGGACTTCTGCCACAGCAGCTAAATAGCACCCCGAGATTCTTACTGACCATTGTCCTAAATCGTCAGTCTCAACCTACTTTATTCGTCTCATGCATTCCTCTTTCTGCCTTGCCTCCGGGATGGGAGGGTGTCAAAGACTACAAAGTGCCAATCCTAACCATGAAGTGGGGTCACTGATAAGTATCTTGATATCTTCCAGTACCAGTGGAAGAAGTCATATAAACTTGCCAGTTGCAGTATCTGTCAAATATTTGCAAAAAGTATTAACTTTTGCCAAACTTCACACTTGTAGTGCATCCAAGCAGCTGCCAGACACAACCCGTTCTCATGGAACGCAGACAAAAAAAAATCCTTAACTATTACATCTGGAAGAAATGGAGAGGAACATGTGATTTTAGCCCCAAATTCTCATTCCCAGAATTAAAAATTTACACCCAGAGTGGGCAACATCAGTCTCTTATGGCAATGCAGTGTTTATGGATGATGTATAGGGTACCACTTCCTGTTTCTTCTCAGCCTCCTAAACACACGTTCGTTTTAGTATTCACAGCCTCATGAGCAGTGCTCTCCTCGTATCTGATTTGCAGACTGGAAACTGTAAGACGCTCGAGTGATCCGTGTGAAGTCACTCAGGGGGTGGTTAGCAGGACTGGAACTCAGACCCAGACTGTCCAAGTGCAATGCCAACAGTTTTTTTTTCATTATATATATATAAAAAAAACGACTCACCTCCCTGGAGTCTAGATTTTTCTTTCTGCTTGTGAATCCCATACAGCGATAGCAGAGATAATTCTGATAACTCTCTCAACTTAGTCATGGTGTCCTCGGTGGCCCAGGAGGGCAAGGTGAAGTTGTGAACACTCTGCAGGAATGGGAAAGAAGAGAGATGTGAGCACAGTTGTGATTAGGACCTCCTTTGCTGATTTCCGTTTCCTCTTCGTCCTGTAAGAACAACTCAGGCCAGGCAACCTTGCTGATCCTGCCATTTCTCTCTAAGAATTTGTGAGCGCCAGCCATGGATTTCAGTTAGAAGATCAAAATAAACTAATTTGTCCCTCCCTACAGGCTTTAAGGCTTAACTCTGGCTCAGTTACAGAAAGGGATGCTGCCTCAGGGGCAAGGATGCTCCTCATTCCTTCTAGAAAGGTTTAGGAATATTGCTATGAACCTTTGAGGGAGGCTGTGCTAGTTAGTTGTGGTCAGCTAGATACAAGCTAGAGTCACCTGGGGAGAGGGACTCTCAGTTGAGGAATGGCCCCCATCAAATTAGCCTCAGGCAGGTCTGTGGAGCATTTTCTTAGCTGGTAATTGATGGCAGAGGGGCCACTGTGAGCAGCCCGTGCCAGCAGGTGGTCTTGGCTTGTATAGGAAAGCTGAGTGAGTGTGAGGAAAGGGGGCAAGGCAGCAAGTGGCATTCCCCTGTGGTCTGTTTCTAGGACAAAGGCAAAAGGGGTGTGTAGGGCTAGGTGATGTTTCCTAAAAGTCAGGACTTTCACACGAGGCCAGTTATAAAAAATCTGTGTATTTCTGGAATCTTCGCAGGTTTACTATGAACGTCTAGTTCCTGGCTGGGGGAACATCTGTACCTCATGCACAGTGAGTACTGGCAAGTGTTTGCTGAATGTCTGACCGAGCTGCAATTAGTAAAGGTACAGATCTTGTGGGGATGTTTTCACCTATTCAGGGGAGTTGATTAGGATCCCCCTTAGTTTCAAAAGTGGGAGAAGGTGGGGTGAGGGAGAGGGAGAGAGAGAAAGGGAGGAGAGAAAGAAAAAAGAGAGGTTTTGAGAAGAGCAGAGTAAAGGGATGTAGGAGGAAGATGCAAGCGATGTGACAATTACATCAGGTGACATGGCCTTATTAAAGAATAGCTCAGGGAAAACCTTATGAAGTTGCTGGGGTATGATTCAGTGACAAAGCTTGGGGTAGCTTTATGACTGTGTCCTGGCCTTAATTTCCAGAACAAGCATATGAACAAGCAGAAAATTTAGAGAAGAAAAAGAGAAGGAGAAGGAAAAGAGAAAAAGGAGAATAAGGAGGAGGAGGAAGAAGAAGAGAAGAAAGGAGAAGGAGGAGTTGAAGATCTATTGCCAGGACTAAAACAAGGAGCCTTAAACGCTGAAGATCAAGAGGAAATATGGGTGAATGCATGGTGAGACTGTCATGGAGATGGGTGAACTGGGTGATCTCTCTTCGAGACAGAACTTGGAAGGTAGCTCCTGCCACACACACTCATGATGGCCTCCATGTCAGAAGTGGACATGAGGCTTGCAGAGGTCAGAATTCTGCTCCAAGACACAGGAATAAAAATTACTTCTTTTGGCCAGAAGATGGAGCCCGGTGAACAAAAGGCTTTATCGAGCTACAAGATGATTTCCATGGCACCACACAGGGGAGTTCTTTCTTCAGAAGCCATGGCTGACAGCCTAGCATATAGTTGTCTGACTTGTTTTAATATCCAGAACCTGGCAATTTTTCTCCCCTTTTTATATATAACAGCATTGCTTTTTTCATTAAAACCAATGACAGGAACCTGGCATTCCAGTGTGACTGCCAAATAAATGAGTGGCAATGTTTTGAAGAAAAGCAATTTTGTTTGCAATTTTCTAAAGGGCAGAAACATAAGTAAGGAGAAGAGAGGAGCACAGATTTTCAAGCTTGTATAAGAACAGCTCGGGTTATATTTCAATATCAGAGGCCATATAAGCAGTACATTTTTAAAAAGAGAAAGAAGATGAATGAATTTATCTGATTCAATATACATATCAAATCACAAAATAAGATTGCAAATGAATCTTTGATAAGTTCTTTTACCTCACAATATAAAGGGTCGTAAACCTTACTCCAAATTCCAAAGAGATCCTGGCCAGGGAATCCTGACAGCGATGGCAAGGTTTCTATAAAGCTCTGGAACACAAAGAGAAGGAAAATATTTCAAAACTAGGACCTCTCATCATCCATAGATTTTGATACCTATTGCAGCAAGATGCAGTGAATGATACTGGCAATGATGATGGTGACTGACATATTTGATGTGAGCTTCTTTTTCAGAGTACACTAAAACTGCAGATAGATGCTAGCTTACTGCCACATGTTCCTGGTCTGTGCTAGGGGCTGAGGGAAGCACTCTGCCTGGACTCTTTAGAAATGGGTGAAGTATAGCACATGCAAACGAATGTCCCGAGGCAAGAAGAGCAAGGATGGGCTTGACTATAAAAATGAGATGGGGGGGCTGGAGAGATGGCTCAGTGATTAAGAGCATTGCCTGCTCTTCCAAAGGTCCTGAGTTCAATTCCCGGCAACCACATGGTGGCTCACAACCATCTGTAATGAGGTCTGGCGCCCTCTTCAGGCATGCAGGCACACAGACAGAACATTGTATAAATAAATAAATAAATAAATAAATATTTTAAAAAATGAGATGGGGATATATAGGAGTAGGTGTCTGTGTGTGTGTTGTGTGTGTTCTTGTGTATAAATGCTATATCTATTTGTGTAGGCAATGTGCTAGACAGTTCTATGTTGTCATAACAAGATACATGTTCAGCTATCGGACTGTGAGATTGGTAGCCATTTCAAGGTCTTTTGGAAGACAGTTTGATGGATAAATTTTCTGGAAGACTATTCCTTGCCAATATTAATCTCGACAGACTTCTATCAAATAAACAGAAATAAGTGTTCAAGAATCTTCTATTCGTGGGGCTGGGAGTACAGCTTCATTCCTGATGCCCATGTAAAAAGTCACACTTGGTGACACGAGCTTGTAATAGAATCAAGGAGATAGAGACTGAGTGAGGGGAGATATAAGGGACGGGGACAGTGGCTGGGTCATCACCTAGTTTGCATTAGACAGCACACTCCTATCATGAGGCTCCTGGTACAAGTCTTAACTATCATGTGTGGAAGCACAGGCTATCATAAAGCTCCTGGTTCAATGTGTAATTACCACTAAAATGTTAACTAGTTTTGAAACGAGGCTGGCTGAGGCTACAGTTCACAAAGAAGCTAAAAATATACACATGAAAATCCAGAACACAGAGGAGCCAGGTGTGGTGGCACAGCTTTAATCCCAGCACTTGGGAGGCAGAAGCAGGCAGATTTCTGTGACTTCGAGGCCAGCCTGGTCTATATATTGAGTTCCAAGACAGCCTGTGTTATGCAGAGAGAATCCTGTCTCAAAACAACAATGACAACAAAGAAAGAAACAAACAGCTGGATGGTGGTGGTGTATACTTGTAATCTCAGCACTCAGGAGGTAGGTGAATCTCCATGAGTTCTAAGCTAGCCTGGTCTACAGAATGAGTTCCAGACAGGTTCCAAAGCTACACAGAGAAACCCTGTCTTGAAAATCAAGAGGAAAAAAAAAGGAAAGAAAAGATAACAGAAGAATGACAGGTGATCAGCACCTTAAATATTAAAATACACTATTAAGTTATAATAAGTCATGGTTTGGCTAATCAGAAGAAGAAATAGAACTTAAATTCTAGAAATGGGCTCCATCTATAAGGAGATTTTGATACATAAGAACTCAAATTAAGATTGAGAGAAAAGGTGAACTAGTTAACAAAGTGTGATGGAGCAACTGGAAGATCTTCTGGACACAAAGTGTTAATAAAAGTAATTGGGGGTGTGGTGGCACATGCCTTTAATCCCAGCACTTAAGAGATAGAGACCAGGAGATCTCTGTGAGTTTGAGGCTAGCCTGGTCTATAGAGTGAGTTCCAGGACAGCCAGGGCTATACAGAGAAACCCCGTCACAAACAAACAAAAAACACACACAAAAAAGCAAAATAAATAAATAAATAAATGGATCAGAAACCTACATTTCCAGTAAATAAATCAAAGTAATAAAATGTTATGTTTATCAATTAAAATACTGCACATTTACAAAAAATTGAAGAAATACTTCACATATAAATATAAAATATTTTCCAGATATTTTGTTAAATAATAAAACTTTTTTTTTTTTAAAAAAAGGAGTGGTCAGCCTTGTGATTGGTATAATGCATCCATGTAATGGAAGGAAAGCTATCAATCTGAATATGCACCAGAAAACTAAAAGACTCCATAGGAAACAACATCACTGTCACTTGTAGGCGGTCATCGGGAGACCACCATATCCTATTGTGTTTACTTTGTATGTTTTCTAATTCTTGGACCGTGTAGATGTGTAATTAATTCAGATGGTTACTTTCTGAAAATCCAGGTGATCATATCTACCTTTTGTGCCACCCTGAAAAGCAAATATTGCCCAAAAGGGGACAGCATACGCTGTGTATCGAAAGACAGGAGCCTCAGTTTCTCCTCCTCAAAGCAGGCGATTGACACCTGTGTTCACTGTCATTCATTTGTCAAGGACAGAGGTAAAGCACTTGGAAGGGACTGGCGTCTGTCCTGGCTGGTGGCCATCGTTGCTAAAACAAGCCTCTGACAGACACATTCACGCCACACTTCCTTCAAGAAGGCCGAGTTTCACCCTTTTTCTTGACCTTCGCACCCCAGTGTACGGAAGGCGACACTACTAACTTTATATGGACGAAGCCTCTTCTGGAATTCCTCAGATTGTAAAGTCTCGCTCTTGAGTTCTTGAAAACGAGGGCAGTCCCTGAAAGGCAGGTAGAGCAACTGCGGACGAAGAAAACAACATAAGACCTTGATTAGCCAGAGGAGCATCGGCAGATACTCGGTGCCAACCTTTTAAGCCTCATCAGGTCTAAAGCAGCCTTAAAATCCCGTACTGTCCTGTGAGCTGAATAGAAGTTCTAAAATTAGAGGCAATGAGGCAAATGGTCCTTGGGTCTTAACACACTAGGGCATGCTGCTGAAACTGTGATCTACCTAGTTCTCTCTCATGAGCTTGCTGCTGGGGAATATTCTCGGTTGCTCATTTTCTGTGTGGATGGCTGTTACCTTGCTTCCTCCCCAATCCCTTTAATTCTGGCACTAAGTGCACCTCTGTGTGCACCCTCTCTTCCCCAGGAGTGAGGTGAAATAAATTAGAGGTTTGGGATAGAATCTTAAAGGGATCAGCTCTTCACCGAGTTCATTCTAGCAAATCTGCAGACCGTCAAAATAAGGGTATGAATTAAATGTATGGATAGTAGTATTTAAGATCTAGGAGGAGGACAGAACGATCATTGTGAAATTAGTGTAAGCTTCACAATCTCTCTTAGCTTTAACTGAAATGCGCAGGCTGCCGACTTACAAATTTGTTGTGAGGCTTTTTCACCTGGTCTGTTTTTGCAGCCCTTGATAGCACTGCTCAAAGGGCCGCTCTTTGAGCCCTGATATTCTGAAGTTTAGTGTGTATAAAGCTGAGGTTAGCTTCATCTTCAATCATTTCCTTTTCCTAACGTCTTTCCTCCTGCCCACGAGAAAGTTAAAAAGCTGCTCTGTGGGCAGTGACACTAGAGCTGGTCTACTTTCAGCCTAGATCTAACACAGACCCCTTCCTTCCTCTTGGTCGTCTCTCCTGGTCTGGACCGGTGTAATCTGTCTCAGTCACTGTCCATGCCCCCTAGCAGGTGGGTGGCTGTCCACTCCTCTGACTGTACAGTCCATTCTCCTCACAGCAGCCCCACCATCTCTAAGGGCACCCCAAAGATCAAACTGTTTTTGTAGGTCTTGACTTCCACAGACTTTTTCTTTTACCTGGAATCAAATGCAAACTTGCCTTCTAAGAGTCTATGTGAGATGAGCAGTAAGTAACAGTAAGTGCTTTACCCTGCTCCCCCACCCCCTTCTTCCATCTCACTTTCTCTGTACAGAAATACTGGGGACCCTCTTCTGTGAGTGCTCCACCTTAGGTTCCTAAGTCACTCCGCTCCAGCCGCTACAGCAACTCACTTCCTTCTTCCAAGGAACTTATCACAATCTGAGAGCATTTTATTGGTGTTCTTTATTGTCTATAAGATAGCAATCTCAAGTAAACTAGGCTCTTCTCTGTCACATTCATGGACGTATTGTCAACAACCAGAACAAGGGTGGTGTATTAGCTGCTGCTCAGAAGGCTTTTATATGGCTTCCTGTCTGTCCTTTCTGACTCTGTATGCCACCTGGTTTTACCTTTGCTTCCTTCCTTTTTTATGAGCATGTAATCTCCTACATTCATTTCTGCATCCCTGAATTACATCAGCAACATTTTCTGAGGCTCCCACATCTTCCCTTTCTGAGCGCTGTCAGCACAGTGACTAACCCACCCCTCATCACATGCAAGCAATACCGAGGAATGCATGTTTTCATCTCCTCCCTTAGCTCAGTGCAAAGCTCACAGTTGGATTCTGTGAGGACCTGCATCCCTGCCCTGGGCGGCCTCCTCTCTGAACTCCTTCAATAAATGCAGCTTGTGTTGAAATCATTGCCTATCATCTTGTACTGTGTCGCGTGGCTGATGCATGCTCAATTTCTTTCATCAAACAAATCTTAAGTTAGGGATGAAGTTTGGTCTTATCACTCAACACTAGGGAGTAACCTAGTGTTCTTTAAGAAAATTTTGCTTGCCTTAATGAAAAGGTAGCTGGAACCTATGGATAGTTAATTTGTCTGTTTCTCTCTCCATCTCCCTCGCTTTCTGTTCCTTTTTTCTTCTTCCAGTGAGCACCAGTGTCTACTGTGAAATGTGATTACCTTCTGTCAGGATTACAGATGGACTAGTTTCTTTGCTTTACTTTGGCTATGCTTAATATTGCATTTCAGGCTTCATCTCTGCAGAAAAGGGTGTGGCAAACATAATTGTCTTTTCTTTTTGGAAAGTATTGTTCACAGACATTGGTAATAAATGCTTCCATTCCAATCTGTGAAGGTAAGGCTATAAATACATCATCCTAGCTTTTCAGAAAACATCAGAAAAATGGTTACAGTAGATTAAACTTGAGTGAGGTTGGCAGGGAGGGTTGTTGCTACAGAGCATTTTGAAAAACTCTACAAAGCATGTATGAAAAATTCATACTGCCATTAAGTCAAGTTTCTAGCAGTGTTGCCAGGGCAGAGAGGAGAAGGTGTATCCCAGAAGTCCCTGGGAAAAACTTCCGGTCAATGCTAATGCAGAGTGGGAGATGTTGCTGTGATTTGGATATGTCCCTTGGAGAAGTCCCGTGGTAGGAACTTGGTCTCCTGTTGAGAGGCTGAACCTGCGAGAGGTGATTGATTGCATCCCAAGTGCCCTGCATGCGGGAACGGATTAGTGGTTCTCTATGGGTGGGAGGGAGTTGGTTATGAAAGCTAACTTTCTTGGATATACTTGCTCCACCTCACCCTCTGACATCCCCTGGCAGGTCATGACCAGCAAGAGGACCCACTCCAGATTCTAAACAGATGTTCGTGTCATGCCTTGGACCTCAGGTCTTCCAAGTGTGAGCTGAATGAACCTCTGTATTTAAATAAACGGCCCAGTCTGGAATGATCAGTTATAAAAACACAAAATGGCCAAGCTAACAATACAGGTCAGGGAAACTGAGCAATAACTCTCTCTTCCAAACTGTTTCCTTTATATTCCCTTACATTCTACATTGGAAGGTTAGATTTATTTATTCATATTTTCTAGATACCAGTTCCTTTGACAAGGTTCGATTTCTTGGTCAACCCACCCTGTCTGAGTTAAGTTGAATTTCTCTCAAATAGTTCTATTTAGGCAACTTGGTGTACGGTGCTGCATCCCAAACTTGGCTGCTCATGAAATAATTTAAGAAAGTTATATTTTAAAATACTGATGTTGGTGCTGAAAAGATGGTGCAGCAATTAAGAGCACTTGTTGTTCTTCTATAGGACCAGGGTTTGATTCCCAGTACCCACATGGCAGCTCACAACCATCTGTATCCAGTTCCATATCCAACTCCCTCTTCTGGCTTCCAAGGGCACCTGGCACACACATGGGGCACAGACATACATGTAGGCAAAACATCCTACATGTATAATGAAATAAAAATAATTAAAAATATACTGATGTACAGGCCCTACCCTCAGGGATTGACTTGAGGAGTGTCCTTAGTCATCAGGCATCCTGAAACCTCTCAAGGTGGTTCTCACCTGCAGCTGAGTCTGAGAACCACCATTTCACAGGGAAGAAGACGCTTTGAATGGGAGCCCAGGACTGACTGTTGTTTACGAGCAGTGAGGCATTGGGCGTAGTTTGTTATTTTACCTCTCTGAGTGACTTATTTCATTTGCCCCAGGATGTAAATTTTTAATGAGAAAGGAGTGTTTGGTGGACATGGAGATCTTTGGATATTTAGGGGAGATGAGAAACCTATGTTGGGCACTAAAATCATGGGGATTGAAGACAGAACACTAGGAAGTGTGTGTGTGTGTGTGTGTGTGTGTGTGTGTGTGTGTAGCCACACGTGTGTAGATGGACGAAGGGAAATTAACAAAAACTGAAATGCTAGTCAAGCAAAATGAATCCAAATTGAAACTCAGCTCCTAGCCTTGCTTGTCTGAGTCTTTTCATGTCCTGTGTATCCATCATACTGAATCTCTAAGTCCCTAGCAGCCTGACTTCCTCCTACTGAATTATATAGGATACCGACCCGATCTTCAGAGAGAGCCACTGTGTGCACTGGGATGGGCTGCCAGGGCAGGCTGGGGTTCCAGATGCTGATCCCCTCTGGGGGAAACAGGGCCGCAAGGTTTGTCATAGCACTCATCAAAGTCCGGTCAACATCTGTGCTCCGAATATAAACCTAGAGGGGGATAAATCAAAGCAGATGGAAAATCAGAGGAAACTCCAAGTTTTCTTTCTGTGGAGCTGCCAGGGTGCTAGGGAAAGAGCGGAAACACAGGATATCAGCAGGTTCTGTGGGAACATCATAATCACGTCTGTCAGGGGATTGGATAGTAACGTGAAAATACAATGGGACAAAGCAGTCCATAGGCCAATAGTTGAATTGATCAACGACACTAAGCCAAAGTATTTGCACAGGTACCTATAAAAACTTGAACTAAGACTATATAGGGGAAAATAGTCCCATAAAGAGAAAAACATCTGTAAATAAGATCTCTGATGTATATAAGTTCTTCAGAAAATAGGCAAAGGTATAAGTTCTTCGTATGCATGAAGAATTATTTTTTTTCAAGGGTCAAGTTTCAAAGTCCTGGTTTCCCAACTTGCCTGGTCATGTTTATAGGAATCGTTCAAGAATCTTCCGTATCTTCTCCTTATATAACTTCCAAGTTCGTAATGCTGTTCCATGCCCCGCTATGGAGAAGAAAAGTGAAGGTTAGGGAAAGGTATGTGTTATCATAGAACATGTCTTTCCTCATTGTGCGTGGTGTGAACACGATGTGCCTATCAGTTCCACAATAAAATCTCCTATCTGAACTGAGGCAGAAGAGAGTAGTCACCTTAGTCAGGATGTCCTGAGAATACTCCTTCATCGTTGTTAGCACACAATGAAGAGGCTGGTATATATGTATATAGCTGATAATTGGCAACTTATCTAAGTAAATGGCCTGTTTGAGGTGTGGTGGGATTCCCTATGGGCAGAACATTCAAAGTGATTGATTCATCACATCCTAGGGGGGTTTTGAGAACAAAATCCAATTGTCTAATGAAGTTGAGCTTGCTGAATCTGAAGGTCCCTTTAAGCCTTGCAGTAAACAGATTTATTATATCCACAGTCTATCTATGGCTGGCTCATAAAAAAATAGAGCTTGTTACTCAAAATGTGGTCAGAGATCAGCAGGGTTGGCATCATTTGGGAGCATGTTATAAATCAAATTCTTGGGCCCTACTCTTGATGAATTGAGCAAGAGAAACTTTGGGAGCACTGGGCAGTACTGGTGCAGTGACTTGGGAGACAGAGGCAGGTGGATTTCTGTGAGTGAGAGACCAGCCTGGTGTACAAAGTGAGTAACTTTGGAAGAGGGGCTCAGAAATCTTTTTAAAGGTTTATTTTATTATTTTATGTGTATGAGTATTTTGCCTGAATGTGTGTCTATGTAAATACGTGTGCCTGGTGCCCACAGAGGTCATAAGAGGGCATCAGAACCCCTGGAGTTATAGACGGTTGTTAGACATCATGTAGGTCCTGGGAATTGAATCTGAATCATCCTAGAACAAGTACTCTTAACCACTGCGTGATTTCTCCAGCCCCAGAAATCTGTTCTTAACCATCTCTCTTAGAAAGCCCAGTGGATCATTGAGATCAGCCTTAACTCATGCTCCTTGAGCACTGGTGTGCATTAAAACAAAAGGATCCAGATACACCTGTTGAAACTCAGATTCCTCAGCATCTCCCCCAAAGATTCTAGCTCTCTGCATCTGAAATGTGGCCCTGGAACCCGTTTTAGGTAGGACCCCCAAACGATTCAGGTGTGCTAGGCTTAGAGGAGTGATGTGGGAGTGTCATATATCAATCTGTTGATTTCATTGGTTAAGCAATAAAGAAACTGCTTGGCCCTGATAGGTTAAAACATAGGTGGGAGGAGTAAACAGAACAGAATGCTGGGAGGAAGAGTAAGTGAGCTCAGAGAGACGCCATGCTTCCCTCTCCCGGGCGGACGCTAGAGCTCTGCTCTCTGAGGCACACACGATGAAGCTCCGACCCAGGATGGACGTAGGCTAGAATCTTTCCCGGTAAGACTGATGCTACACAGATGATTAGAAATGGGCTAGTCCAGGTGCGAGAGTTAGCCGAAAAGAGGATAGATATAATGGGCCAAGCAGTGTTTAAAAGAATACAGTGTCCGTGTAATTATTTCAGGGCATAAGCTAGCCAGGCGGCCGGGGTGCTGGGGACACAGCCCCACTGCTCCAATTATTACAACAGAGGAGCATTGTATTGTGGTTTGTTATTAATCCAGAGCCTCACCAGAGATTTACAAATCAGGGAAAATGTAGTCTCTCCTCAAATATGAGGATGGCTGTTGCGAAGGACAGCGTACCATGGCCCGAGTAGCTGAAGATGTGGGTACTTTGGATCCAATTGTCTTCTAGCTTACAGCTGAGTTTTGGAATCTGATTGCTACTTAAGAGACTTCTACGTGTGAATCCAGACCTCATGGTCCTCAAAAGTCTTTTAGTCTCACTAGAAAATTAGAGCAAGGAAACAGGTGTCATGTACTAAGAAAACAATATATGAGCCTTTGTCACATTCTCTCATTAGATAGAAAGATGGCTAGGCCATGGTTGGAAGGGCTCTGACCTTCTGAAGCAGTAGATACTGGCTTTCCCATGACTTCTCTGAGCTATAATGTCTACAAAACCTGATGGTTGGTTAGGGTCGTGATTCTCAGCTTTGGCTGCACATTAAAATAAAGCAATCAGTTGAGGAGCATCCAAACATCCTAATGCCCAGGCCATGCCCTATGCCAATTAAGTAAGACATCATTGCTATTTTTAACAAATCTCTAATAGACCATCTCCATGGAAACCTCTCACACTTAAATGCAGTCAGCAGGATAAATGCATCAAAGTGGAAAATTCTGTACATATTTCTCCTTTACTCAAAAAATTACCCAAAGCTGTGGCTCGTACTTGAAATCTCTGCACTTGGGAGGAAGGAGTTTGAAGTCATTCCTGGCTGTGTAGGGAGTTCAAGGCCAGCCTGTACTATATGAAACCCTGCCTCATAAAATATAAAACCACAATAAAAGAGATCAAACTAACCTGGGTGAGTTGACCAAATCCTTGTGGCCATGAGGATTCCTTAATGGGGTCGTTAGGAAAGGTATCGATGGGACTTCGGTCTCCATGCCGAAACACCTAAGGAAAGATGTGGGACAACAACATTACAAAGTTCACTTGAGTGTCTTGCGTCTACTTGTCATAATACAATTTCTTAAACCATGGCTGATACCATGTTTATCCACTGGAATCACCTGGAGAGTTCTAGAAAATTCTAATGGCAAAGTGCCCCCTCTCCTGGGATCTTAGTTTCATTAGTTGGGCTTATGACTAAAGGGTATAAGTCTTCTAAAATCCTGTCCAAATGAAACTCAGGGGAAGAACCACCAACATTTTCTTGTGCATGAGAAAATTATACGATCAAGATGATTGGCCATTGGAAAGCGAATGGTATATGCATGGAGATAGAGTTATGTATCTAAGATGAAAGACAGATGCATGAACATACAAGATCACTTGGTGCAGACAGACTGATTAGAAATATTCTTCTCTTAATTACTAAGAACAACAATGCTCTTAAAATTTCACACATAATAAAAACGGTAGTTTTGTAATGACACCCTCACTTGGGAATACTTTGGCTCAGAGATTAGTTAATTTTTAGAGGTTAGGGGCATATGAATTACAGATTGGTAGAATAGGAAAGCTGGATCTCAGCGCTTTAATAACATGCTTCTTAGATCTGGATACACACCATGCTATTCAGACTGCGCATTTGCTTTTGAAGAGAGACGTTTGGACTTCTGAAACCTCAGTTCTTTGATTCTAAAATAGTAGCATGCCAGACCAAACTCAGTGCTATTTTATAATCAAAACATAAAAAAGAAACCTATTCAAGAAGGACAAGATGAGGTCTTACATGGAGGCAGAAAATATTTAATAACATACAGGATAGTTGTTGAACACTTCATTTGATCTGAGCTCACCTTTGCTGGTCACTTGAATTACCTACTGGGAGACCCCACTGTAAGTAAGCAAGGATGCTGTATTTCTGAACACCTACAGCACCGTTCAGTAGACACCAAGGAAGGAACAGCCTCAAACTTGAGTTATCTTCAGGAAAGAATTCTAGAATAGCAAGGATGGCTTCTAAGACCAATGCTATGACTCTGGTATCTGAATAAAGTGATTCTTTGCTGCCCTAAACCAGTGGAAAATTAAAAGCCCAGGAAGACAGCCTACAGAATACAGAGGGGAACAGGGCAGAGGGTGGTAAGAGGCCCCCTTGGGGGAAGGTAAGGAAATAAAGCTTGAAGTTTCCCTTTCCAGCAGGAAGAACAGCCACTGGTGCCAGTTTGTGGGAGTGACTTGGACATAAGTGGGAACCACCAATATTAGCCATTAGTGACTCTGTTTCCACAACCAGGTGCATCTTAGACTGCTTGGATCTGTGATCACTGTGCAGCAAACCTCCCAGATCTGAGGAACAATAGTTGTGACACACTTTCCCAGGTTACTAGCCTCACATTGATTTCTCAGAGTTTTTCAATCTTAATACAATACATTTTCAGAGGTAGATAATTCTTCACTGTAGGAAGCTGCCCTGTGGATGATTTAGTAGGCCCTTGGCTTTTTGTATTTCCTTGTTACACAATTGCAAAGACCAAACACCTCACCACTGAGTTAGCCAGGGAGAAATCCAATAATAAGCATTCTACCGAAACAATGAACAACTCTTTCTACCAGAGCACAACCCTTCCTCCCAGCACCCAACTACAACAATCCTTTATGTTTTTTTTCCATTATTGCTATGCCTTGAGGAGTTGCTAAGTGCTTTTGTGTTTAATTCTCTTGACCAGTTCTGCAACATAGCCATTATTATGATATACACTTCACAGCTCATCTTAGATAAGTAATGAGTCTAAATCCTCAAGCAGGTAAGTAGAACTAACCAGGCATTGGCCATGTATCTTTCACTAATGTGTCTTCCTTTGGATCTCTCTCTCTCTCTCTCTCTCTCTCTCTCTCTCTCTCTCTCTCTTTCTCTCTCTCTCTGTGTGTGTGTGTGTAGTGTAAAAAATACATTATTAATGGTCAGGAGTTTCCACAGAACTAGTGATGATTGCAACAGGAGGAGACCTGAGACCACAAGAACTCTCAATCTCACATTCCTCTATGCTTTATAGAACTCTCTGCTATCTCTTGTGATTGCTTTAGAAGGGGTCTGCCTCTGCATACCCTGATCTAATCCAGGCTGGTTTGGATTTGTCACGGTCCTCCTGCTTCAGCCTCCCAAACAGTGGGATTGCAGGTGTGATCCACCACACCTGGATTTCCTGGCCACTCTTACCATGTTAGTCCTTCCTATCCATGAGCATGGGAGATGTTTATCTTCTGATAGCTTCAATTTCTTTCTACCATACTAGTCTCTCCCTTGCTCGGCTAGAGTTACACCAAGGATGTTTTACATTATTTGTGGCTGTTGTGAAAGGTATCATTTCTCTGACTTCTTTTCTCAGCCCGTTTATCATTTGTATATGGGAGGGCTACTGATTTTTTTGAGTTAATCTTATATACAGCCACTTCACTGAAGATGTTCATCAGCTTTAGGAGTTCCCTGGTAGAAATTTTGGGTTAATTAATTAATACTATCATATGATCTGCAAATAACGATACTTTTTTTAAATAAGGAATTCCTATGAGCCCTCTGCCGGCTCCTATGATCAGTCTGTATATAGTTAGTATTTAACTTACAACCTTATCACTCTTAGAAATATCATATGTTATTGCTCTTTGTAACAAATTCAAAGTCCTTATAAGAGCTCGTCCCCGCCCCTTAAACCCTACCTGATCAGGTCCCTCCTTCTCAATGTCCTCAGTTTATTGTCTCACTAAATGGGCTTAGCCACAGGATCTCTCCCGCTGGCCCAACTCCGTGCCTTTGCCCAGTGTGACTTTATCTGCTTTGAATGAATGCCCAGTGCTTGCTGCTTCTCAGGACTGACTCTCTCTCTCTCTCTCTCTCTCTCTCTCTCTCTCTCTCTCTCTCTATGGGAAAACATAAAAGTAGCCCTTGTATAACTTTAACCTTTTCTTACTGTTTTGTTTCCATCTCTAATATTTTCTGGTTGTGTTCTTTAGAGATTTTTTTAAAAAATTACCTGGTTCTTCTCTTTCATACTAGTTAGTTTTCTCATTGCTGTGACAAAATACTTGCCAATAACACTTAAGGAAAGGCAGGAAGGCTTTTCCTCTGGCTCTGGGTTTGGTTATGATCTGTTATGGCGAGGAGGGCATGGTATTGGGAATACAAAACAGATGGTCACATTGCATATGTAGTCAAGAAGCATAGCCAGGGAGGGGAATTCTGGTGCTCAGTCAGATTTCTCTTGTTTAAAACCCTCCATTTTATCCAGTCTAGGACCCTGGGCCCTAGGATGAACTGGCATTCAGAGTGTGTCTTCCCTCCTCAGTGACACCTCTCAGGATATACTCTCAGACATGCCCAAGAAGTGTCCCTAGGTGATGGCAGAGCCAGTCAAGTTGATACTGCAACTTCCTAAGAAGTCCTTGGAAGCAGAACCCCTGTGGAAACGGCGACTACCTAGAATACAATAACACACTAAAGGCCTGTCTGGATGAGCAAATGGACCCTGGGTTGGGTCTCCTTCCTCCAGGCTTCTGAAAGCATCTTCCTATCCCTCTGGTGTCCCAAGAGCTTCTGATTTTCATTGTCACGTAACGAGAAGCTGTGCTGTGCCATCCTGTTTTCTTCCTGCCTCCCTTGCCCTCAACTTCCCCTTCTATCACGCCAATTTCTGCCTTTGATTCAGAACAGTGAGTCTTGCCTTGGGCCATGCTGGAGTTTTAACAAACCACCGTGTTGTCCTTTCCAGTTTAGAACTCTAGATAGCAGAAAAACCTTGGGATGTCTTTGGATCCAAACTCCAGTGCCCACACTCACAGCCATCTCCCCAGTCCTATTTTCTCCTTTTAAGGAACCAAGAAATAAACCTATTGGCAGATCATCAGAACATAAGACAGTTTGGGCGGAAACGATGATTGCTATAGACGAATGCTGTAAGAGGTAAGGGGAGAGCCAGCTGTAAAGAGTCAGTATGCAGTTACATCCTGCCCTGGCCACGAGGAAGATGTGCGAGGCCTAAGCAAGATCTTTCTCCAGGGCCCAGGAAGAGCAAGAAGCCCACAGGAAAGGGAAGTGGGGCAAACCGCGTGTTGCGTTGTGCACAAGCTGTAAACAGAAAGCTCTGCTATCCTGGTTACCTAGGCCATGTTTCAGGCCGCAGCGTTGTCAACCACTGCCCCAGAGACCCTGAGTAAATGACTGAACTCAAAGTTCTGCGTGTCTCGGTTTCTCTTTCCACGTAACAACAGAATCATTTTTGATTACTCGAGAGCAACATGAGACCTGCAGGTGTAATAGTATATGTGTGAAGTAGTATGTATGAGTACCGATACACAGGGTACATTCGGTCCATGGTATTTCTTATTATGTTTGTTACTAATGTTATTCACACCCACAAATGTCCTGTGTGCTTCCTTTCCTGTTGAAGGTGGTTTGTAGCATCCAGGGCATATTCTGTTGAGCAAAGGAAAACAGCCCTCTCTTTCAAGGAACACCTCTATTAATATCTAATCATCTCCCTGAATAAGCATTTACCTAAGAGTCATGTTGCTTTTGCCTTTGGATTTGGGCCACTCTGCAAACTTGACTTTTCTCGATTGGCAACCTAAAATGTTTTGAGCCAGATACATTCTCTCTAATGAGTGCAGTGCTCTGAAAATTTGCAAAATGTGTGAACAGGCAAGTGGTAAGAAATTCCTGAGTTTGCAAGCTTAGATGACTCCTGCCTGGCCGACACCAGTTCTCAGGACCATCAGCTTCCAACACCCACGTCTGTAGAACGTGCTGGTTGCCAGAGACATCTGCTGCTCCTGGGCACTCAAGACTAGGGAGCCACACAGTGAGGGAGAAAGAGCAGGAGGCTGTTTGTGAGCAAAAGGACCACTTTTTCTTTTCTAGCAGGACATTTTATGTAGTAGCTCTCTTTACAATCCAGAATAGGATTTATTGAATGCCGGGCCATTAAAGACAAGGTCTAGGTCAAAACAAAATG